CACTAAATGTTTTCTTTCCAAGCTTGGAGAAACAGAGTAAGAGCATAAACTTGTAAAAACAATAGAGAATTACTGAGGGAATGTTTTGTTTCTAATTTCTAGAGTGTAAACTGTATGCATGTATGGGAAATTTGTGCTACAAGTTAGCTCATTCTTCAAAGAATCTGGCATCCAAAATCTTTTTAGAACAAAAGGTATCACAAGTGAATGTCCTCTTCCCACCTCACTACTGCACATATCTGTTGTTGTGGTTGTCGTTCAGTGCTGTGAGCCCACTACACCGCATAGTGACCCTGTGAACAACAGATGCGGACCTCGTTCTATCCCATGCATTCTCATCATCTGATCCACTTGAGCCCATTGTTACAATCATCCTGTCAATCATCTCATTCAGGGTCTTCTGCTCTTTCGCTGACCTATCACCTTTCCAAGCATGAAGTTCTTTTCCAAGGACCAGCCCCTCCTAACAACACGCTCAAAATATGGGAGATGATGTTTCACTGTCTTTGCCTCGAAGGCACAAACCTGGTACACTTCCTCCAAGACGTATCTCCTGTTCTTCTGGCAGTCCATGCCACCACCACTCTAAGGCACTGGTTCTTCTTTATCCTCGTTGTTCAATTAGTCGAGGAGAAGCTGGGGAGCAGAGCTGTGAGCCAGCTTTCTCCCATTCAGTACCCTAAGAATTCACACAGTTCCATCCAGATGTTCTGAATCATAAAAACGTGACCCAAGGATCTTATGAAGCTAGAGATTCTGGTTCTCTAGATCTGATGGCTAAGTGGTAAGGAGTTTCACTGCCAACTCAAAGGTACATGGCTCAAATCCACCAGCTGCTCCTCAGGAGAAAGCCAGGTAATCTCCTCCCGTGGTCTGTACTGCCTCTGAAAACCCACTTGAAGGTCAGCTATGAATTAATTCCCACTTGATGGTCTACAGTAACTACAACAACAATGTATCTAGAGTGGAAATGCAAATTCTAAGCATGGGTCAACCCCACTTAACCAGTTCTAAGAACAGGCAGAGAAATGCTCTAAGAAATGAAAGGAGAGCTCCAGGAAATGGTTATGGTTCAATGGTTAGTGAATGGTATGCGGCTATCAACCACAGCATGGAATCTGGCCCCACCCCAGTCAAATTCTGGAAGCTGATATAAATATTATTTACCTTGGACTGATGATAGCCAAAGTTGTCAATACACTGAAATTTAAGAAAGTTACAGGTAGAACTATTATTTGCAAAGGTGCTTACTCACAAGAGGGGCTTTTTTCCTTGTAACCTCAAGATCCATTATCACAGAAGCTACCTTGCTCAGAGGAGCAGACATGAACACTCTACCTCCTTTCTGCTCTCCTGTTGTAAACACATGCAACTTCCATGTGATGGCCTCTTTAGTGACAGGCTTTCTCTTTCTTCATGCTCTGTTGGTTATTCTGCTTTTTAAAATACCCCAACCACAGTAGTAAGGAATACTGGTGACACCGTATTTAACAAAAGGTTGTCAGTTCAAATACAGTAGGTGCTCCTTGGGAGAAAAATGGGCTTTCTCCTCCCTTTAATGAGACTTAAGAGCCTCAGATACTCAACAGAGGATGACTGAGAGACTCCACCCCACAGCACAACGGCTCTATAGGAGTAAAGCACTGTCCAGCATTCCTAACTATAAGAAGCAGGTGAATGGGATGCAAGCTTTGTTCAGTCATGAATTAGAGCGCTGTTCACCATGAATTCAATGTTAATGAGTTCAGTGTAATGAAATACATAAAATGCAGTTGGAGACGGATCTGTTGATGAAAACATTGTGACCAGCTGCTCAAAGAAGTCAGGGGCTTTTCCTAGGAACACTTCAATGTTATGCAAACGTGTCCTTCCTAACAAAGCAGTCTTGGAAGTAGTGCTGTATGGTGCATTTTAGCAGCAAGGATGGTAACATCGCACACTCTGGGCATGTTACCAAGAAAGGCCCGTCTCTGGAAATGAACATTGTGCTTACAAAGGTGGGGGGCAAAAGACCACAACCCTCATCAAAATGGACTGATATGGTAAATGCAGTAACTGGCGTAAGCACAGCTGAGATTATGAGATGGAAGCTCAAGCTTCCATCTGTGCTATCCTGGGTCACTACTGAGTCAAAAGCCAACTCCACAGCCCCCAACATGGGGGTGTGAACCGAACCCTCCTCAACAAATCCATCGCAATCACACAAGTTGGTCCCACCTTTACACTTGATCTTAGCCAAAAGGCCAAGAAGCAATGGTCTAGCTTTTAAATAACTAGAAAAACTACAAGCCCTTTTTGTACTTGTCCTTGTTGTTAGATGCCATCAAGCAAAATAACACAGCAACTCAATGAACAGATATGAACCCTGTCCTCTCCTCATCATCTCTGACATACAAGACCCTAATACTCCCGTCACTGTGTCAATCCATCTCATTGAAGGTCTTCCCTTAAGGGAGCTCTGGTGGGCTAGTGGCAAGAAGGTGCACTGCAATTCCGAAGGCACACAGTTCAAATCCACCAGATGGTCCACTGGAGAAAAGAGGGGCAATCTCCTCCTGTGCCAGTCAGAGCTGATTCAACAGTTCACAACAAAGGTGGGGGTGAGAGGGAAAAAAAGCAGTATGTGTGCACAGTGTTGGATAGAAACACCATAGAACTAAGAATGCTCTCTGCTGTCACCTGAAGGTCTTCCCTTCTTTCACTGACCCTCCAAGCATGATATCCCTTCCCAAGGGCTAGCCTCTCCCAGCAGCATGCCCAAAGAGTATGAGACGAAGCTGTCATCCTTTCTCCTGGGATTCCCCGGGCTGTGCATTCTCCAAGATTATCTGCTCTTTGTGGCATTCTGTAGGTGCTCTTCTCCAACACCACAGCTCAAAGGTATCAATTCTCTTCTGTCATCCTTATTCACTGTCCAGCTCTCAAATGCATAGCAAGTGAGGGAAAAGACCATCACTTCTTGCACCAGAGTCACTCAAATTCATCGCCAAAGAGCTGACCCTCCACTGGGTTTCTGAGGCTGTAAACCACACAGGAATAGTCTAGCTTTCTCTGGCTGAGCTGGGGGCTAGCACAACTCCCTGTGGCCTACACCCTAACGTAAGGCTAAACGAGGACATTACGCACTTGTTCTGAATCAGACTTAACAAATCTGACTTAATGACATACTTACAGAGATAAGCATGTCTTATAAAACCAAACCCCAATGTGGTAGTTACTTATAACAGGGTCCGAAGTCCAAAAACAAGGGGCATCCAGGAACCTGGTGATAGTGAAACCATCACAGGCATCTACAAAAAACACCCAGGATGATAAGTGATCAGGAAAATAATCCTGAGCGAGGACCTGGAAACTGAAGGACTTTTAAAAAGTAAAGATATCAGGAGCTCTGGTGACCTAGTGACAAGAAGCTGCACTGCAATCCCAGAGGTATGTGGTTCGAACCCACCAGATGGTTTGCTGGAGAAAGAAGCGAAATCTCCTCCTCTTATCAGTCAGATCTGATTTGACGGCGCACACGCGTGCGCACACACACACTTTAAAAAGGTAGAGACACCAACAGAGACAAAATATTACCAACTGTAGCTCTAAAACACAAGATTAAGATGTGTGAATTCATACCCCAGGAAATGATGTTTCTAACAAAATGGGTCAGTCTACCTGATGAGGTTGCAAGGCTCAAAGAGTTCATGTTCAAGGCAAAAGAGGTGAGAATGAATTAGCCTGTAAGTTCCCATACTTTTTGCATTTTAATTTTTTTTTAAATCCTCAAAAAAAAAAAAAGAATACTTTCGCCTTTAGAAAACAAACTTTATTTTCACATGGCTTTGGAAACCTATACCATTTTTCTAAAGTAAAAATGGCAACTGGCTTTTTCTCCGAGCTCTGTTGCTTGAGTCATGCTGCTCCGTGACATGGGCTCTATTTCAGACTCATAAGACACAGGCGATAGGGGTACAAGGGTAATCACTTGGGGGGCGGACAAATTCGGAGAGCACAGTCCTGTCCTGGTGCAATGCTTCTAGGAAATGTAACACACACACAAAAATATTTACAAAGCCACAGTTCTCTTGACGTGGTTCAAGAAAGGACGGAAATCCAGGAGCTTTAAATAAAAAAACTGGTTTCAAAGAAGGACGTCTTCTGCACTGTCCTGGAGTCACCTGCGATCACGTGGGTCGCCGTGACCTTACGTGAACTGCACGCTCCCCTCCAGCTGTGACCCGTTTGCAGCCAGATTCCCTAAAAAACGGGATTTCCTAGCCATTTTAAGCGACAAGAGGGCTTGATTCCTTCCGGGTGGGGGTATTTTTCGTTTTTTTCTAAAGAATGCCAAGTTCAGCCGCCCGAGGTCTCCCCGCCGCCCGGGGTCTCCGCCCGGGGTCTCCCAGCACGCCCAGGCCCGGCGCGTGGCGGTCACCCCGGGTGGACGCTGCACTGCGGCGCCCGGACGCGTCCTCCTCCGCAGTGAGCGGCCCCGCGGGGGCGGAGGGATCGTGCCGCGTCACCGCCCGGGGGTTCCAGG